CCGGAGGGCCTGGACCACTTCCCCGGGGCCAGTCGGCGTCCCGGACCTCCGACGTATTGACAAAATCAAGACGGAAGTTTTTCCCGATTTTCGGCCTCTGGCGGCCCTCGCCGGGCCCCGGGACCGTCAACAAAACGACTCAGGATGAAAAACCGGTCCTGGGGAATGGGTCGAGACTTCCGGGGACCCCGTATTGAAAAAATTACGACATCGGGTCTCTGGGGTCGACGTCTTGCGTCCCGGGCCGTTATGGAACGCTCCCGAGGCCTGGCGGGGGCCCCCAGAGGCCGAGAGCCGAAAGTGCACCGTGCCTGGACGGCACATCGGTTGCAGACCGCATGCGTGCGTGGATGTGCAGCAGCACGCCGGCGTCGACAAGGCGAGGAGCACCCTGACTCCGGATCCGCCCTACTCTGGGGAAATTCGTAAGTAGGGCTTGGAATTTCCGCCTTACTTTTCAAGCCCCGCTGATGCCAATTTCCGCCCTACTTTTCTGTTGCTGTTTCTGTGGATTTCCGCCCTATTTTTATGTTGGGTGCAGCAATTCCCGCCCTGCTTTTCCGGCCTCTTCTAAGTAGATTTCCGAGGCAACTTTAAGTTGGGGAAAAAGCCAAAGTAGGGCGGATCCGGAGTCAGGGCAAGGCACAACCACCCGTCGCCGGCTCCGGCTCCATGGACAGGGCGTTTCTAAAAATCTGCGCCAACACGTCCGCTCCAACCTTTCTCGGAGCGTCGGATCTCGGGGCGGCGCCCCGACGAGCCCGTGCCCCTCGCCCCCCGGGGGGGGTCCTGGAAGCTCAGCGCCCAGTCCCCGAGCGTCTCGGGGTCCTCCTGCCGGTGCGGAGCGGAGCGGAGCGCGACGACGACGACGACGACGACGACGACGACGACGACGACGACGACGCTCTTCGAAGGTCCGACGGACCGGCCCCATGAGGGCAGCGCGGGCGGGCCAGGGCCTGGGAAGGGGCCACGACGCGGCAGACTGGCGAACCCCACCTGCGCGGCGAGGAGGCAAAGGGCCTCACGCGAGGTGGCACGGCGACCGTGCGCGGGCCAGGGCCTGGGAAGGGGCCACGACGCGGCAGACTGGCGAACCTCACCTGCGCGGCGAGGAGGCAAAGAGCCCCACGCGAGGTGGCACGGCGACCGTGCGCGGCAGCCTGCGCGGGCCGCCAGCGCGGCGCACCACGTCGGAGACGAGGGCGCCCCCGCGCGACCTCTCGCGGGCAGCCTTCGCGGACCGCCTGCGCGCGAGCGTCGGCGCAGACGACCCCGTCTTGTTGCGTCACACAGCTGGGATTGGAGCGTAGAGAGCTGGAGTCGGAGAGAGCTGGAGTCGGAGCTGAGGCTGGAGTCGGACGGAGCGGGGCAGGCAGGAAATGGTTGCGAGAGGCCTGACGCTCAAGGGGCGAAAACGGCACCGCGTGCTGCCGCGCGAGCCAGCACGCGTGAGCAGGAGCCGATGGTACGGGAGCCCGCGTGGGTCGGGGAGGCGTAGCTGGGGACGGAGAGGTGAGCACGGCATGGACAGGCCAGGAGCCAGCGCTGGGGGGAGGTGGGGGTCAGCGTCGGACAGACAGGGAGCTGGAGCCGGAGAAGCTGCCTCGAATCCACGACAAACTGTGCCTGGCACTTGCCGAGAAGACATGTTCAAAGCGCGGCCCAAACGGTCCCGACCCCTTCCCCGAGAAGGGGCCCTGGAAGCCTAAATTCAGGAAGCACACATTAGTTTTAGGTCGGGCATGTCCTCCTACAGGGGGGTTTTGGACGACAAATAACAACTAGTCCGAAATATTCCAAAATGGTCACAAATAATCAACAAAACTCCTCACTACACTATTTGTTGGCTCTGTTTGAAGATTCCTCCTGCAGAGGGACAGGCCCGACTTAATATTACACATCGCTCATTTCTAGGCGTGCTCGTTTCTAACTGTTCCTAGCCCCCCAGTGGCCAGGAAGAGGCCCAGGATAGCACAGGTAGACATGAAAGGACCTTGCCCCCCCCAAAAAAAATCAAGAAAACTTCCGAAGACTCAGCAGTGAACAACGTGCAGCAGTTGGAAGCAGCACGTCGCCCGAGGCCCGGGGGCCCGCCCTGACTCCGGATCCGCCCTACTTTGGGGAAATTCGTAAGTGGGGCTTGGAATTTCCGCCTTACTTTTCAAGCCCCGCTGATGCCAATTTCCGCCCTACTTTTCTGTTGCTGTTTCTGTGGATTTCCGCCCTATTTTATGTTGGGTGCAGCAATTTCCGCCCTACTTTTTCGGCCTCTTCTGGCGGATTTCCGACGCAACTTTAAGTTGGAAAACAAGCAAAAGTAGGGCGGATCCGGAGTCAGGGTGGGAGCCCGAGGCGGGCAGGGCCGGCGAGCCCGAGCGAGCGGCGCGGGCCGCCCGTCCCACACGATGATGGACTGCGTGTCGCCCTGGCGCGCGTAGGTGCCCGGGCCGAACAGCGGGCGGTCGTGGATGAGCTTGCCGCTGTCCTCGCCGGCCGGGGCCCGTGTTCGGGGAGACGCGGCCTGGAAGACCGCGGAGGTGAGGCCACGCCGTCGCAGCATGTCTGATGGAGGGCCACAGCGCGCCACAAGGTGCACGTTACTTTCCTGCCTGCCGTCGGGCCTCTGAGGCTCCACTTCTGAAAACATTTGGGCATGCTTCCATGTGCAGTCGGTGATTTGACCCGCGTGCTGAACACTTTTCGGGAACGTGCGCCCACGTCCAAGTCGTCGACCTCCTCGGCTCCCGAGCTGCTTCTCAGTCCGAGGAACCCTGCTGCGAGCAACAGGTCAACTCCGACAGCGTGCAAGGCACACCTATAGCCGATCTGAACCACGGCCGAACATTGCGAACACGCCGTTCGAACCTCGAACTTCGACCCCCCGCCCCTCCCAGCCTGGCCCAGAGCGGTTCTTCCGCCCGTCCGGACTCTGCTCAAAAATCCATCCGCGGACCAATCGCGGAGTCCGTCCTGACCCGATCTTCGATGCGGGCCCAGCCTTATGTTGCCCCCATCGTACTTAAGGACCACATCCCAAAAACAATTTCGAGCACCCAGAAAAGCGTCGAAAGAGTGCCGAAAGAGTGTCGAAACAGTTTCGGACGAGCGTCTCCCAGGGCCCGACACGTGAAAGAAGGAGCCGAACTCTATACATCACACCACCCCGACGTCGTCGCCGACCCTCAAAATGTCTTGGGATTGCAAAACAGCCCGCCACTGGTAATGAATATGCTCCAGTTTCCGATGAAACCCTTGAGTTTGTGGGGTACTCTCGTGGTGCTAAAGTAGGCTGGAACATCCTAAGATGCGGGCCCAGCCGTGGCAAGGCGAAGCGCCCATCGAGGCCCAGCGAGGGCGAAGAAGCCCGCCTGGCCCCCCCCTCCGCACGGCCTCCTCGCGCCCTGCTGCGGGAGGCGCCCCCCCCCCTAACCCCCTGAGGGCACTCGACGGGGGGGGGGGGCTGCCTCGAGGGGGGACCCGCCTCGGCAACACAGCAGAGGGGGCTCGCCGATCGGGGGTGCGCAAGCATGGATTGGCGATCCATGGACTTGGCGTGCGGTCGCCAAATCCATGGATCGGGGGAGGGAGGCGCCCTCCCCAAAGTGCGGCCATTGCCGCCTCGTTCGGCGGCGGGAGCCTGCGAATTCCAATGGAAACGGGACCCGTCGCCAATCCACGCCCCCTTAATCCATGTTTGCGATCGCCTGGGCCGAGGAGTGTGCCCAGGAGGCTCCAGACCCTTGAGTTAGGTCGGGCGTGCCCCCCCTACAGGCGGATTTTGGACGAAAAAATGAAAAATAGTCACACACACACACAAAAAATAGCCAAAAATACCCCCCCCCCAAAAAAAAAGTTCCGAGACTATTTCTGGACTATTTTTGACATTCCTCCTGTAGAGGGACACGCCCGACTTCACCCTGGAGGACTCCTTCTGTGAGGAGGGCGGCGGTGAGATCCATGGCCAGTCCGCGACTGGACTCCCTCCAGGTTTTCCAGAAAGCATGGGCTCTCTATACCTGGCCATCGCTCGAACGTCCATTTCCTGTGCTTTGCTCGGTTTCGTGCGTGGTTTTTGTTCACGATGTGATCAAGGATGCTCCTCGATGGTCCTCGCCGAAGGAAAAATGCACACGTCCGAGCGATGCCGAGATACAGCGGGGGCCCGACCACGAGCACCTCCCAGCCCCCCCCCCTCCGCGGGGCGGGCGGCAGCGGCGGATGGACCTGCGGGGCGGGCGCTGCCAGTGTGCCCTCCGGGAGCCTCGTCGAAGACGCGGGCGATCGGAGGCTCGGGCTGCATGTGCAGCAGGGGCCCGACCACAGGGAGCCTTCCACGAGAAACCCAGCCCCGAGACCCCAGAGGGCGTCCATGGATGTGTGGCGTGGGGACGCCACGCTGTCCGTCGCAAAGCCCCCGAAACCCAAGAAGCCCAGGGCACCCTGGCGGCAAGCGGAGGGTGTTTCTTGGCATGGGCCTCCACTGTATTGCTCTCCCCTGAGCTCTTCTCCCCTCATGGGGAGACAAAAAAGTACCGGTACCGTTACTCCCCAGACCTCTCCCTGGGTGCGTTCTGACCAGGACTTCGAAACGAATCCGGCGGTGGCGACGAGGGCCTCCGAGGAGGTGCCAAAACAAGGAAAACGACGGGAGGGTAAAGGTATGGGTACTTTTTCCTCGTCTGACCCACCGTCGCCTCCCCAGAGATCCGACGTCGTGATATTTTCAATGCGGGGTCCCCGGAAGTCTCGACCCATTCCCCAGGACCCGTTTTTCATCCTGAATCGTTTTTTGACGGTCCCGGGGCCTGGCGAGGGCCGCCAGAGGCCGAAAATCGGGAAACACCTCTGTCGTGATGTTTTCCATACGTCGGAGGTCTGGGTCCGTCGCCTCCGAGCGGCTCCTCCTCCTCCCGGCAGCCCTGGGAGCGCCCCCTGGCGGGGGGGTCCTCGTCCCGGAAGCGCAGGCGCGCCACGCCGCCACCCGCCGCGGCGTCGACCTCCAAGGGTGGGGAGGGCGGCAGGAGGCAGCATGGAGGAGGAGGAGGAGGAGGAGGGCGAGAGGGGCGAGGGCGAGGACGAGGAGGAGCGAGGAGGAGCGAGGAGGAGCGAGGAGGAGGAGGAGGAGGAGGAGGAGGAGGAGGAGGAGGAGGAGAGGAGGAGGAGGAGGAGGAGGAGGGGCGAGGGGGGGCGAGGGAGGGGACGAGGAGTGGCGAGGGAGGGAAGGAGCACGAGGGAGGGGAGCGGAGGGCGAAGGGTGCGCGGGGGAGAGGAGGACAGAAGGGGAGGGCCACAGGAGGAGGGCGATATAGAGAAGGGAGGACGATGGGGGGGGGCGAAGGACCAGGAGGACGAGGGAGGGCAGGGAGGACGAGGCAGGGCCAAGGGGGGGAGGAGGCCGAGGAGGACAGGGCGGGCCCTCGACGAGAGGCCGGGCGGCCCGCCGACGGACGCCGCGGGCAGGCGGGCGGGAGCGCCGCGACCGCGGGCGAGAGGCGCCCCGCGCGCTCTCGGGCGCCGACGCTGGCCGCCGCCGCCGCCCGCAAGAGCGGTGGAGATGGGCCGGCCTTCCCAAAGGGCCGAACTTTCTGCACCGACGCTTTGTCCGACCCCGCCGGGTTCTGGTGAATATACGGGAGCCTGGTGTACACATGTTTCGTTGTTTCCCGCATTTTGCTTCGTCCGGTGCTTCGCCGCCGGGTTCCTGTGCAAGGCGTTCCTTTGCAACCACTTCGTCTTCGGCACCGCCTGATTCCGGGGCTTTGCCCCCTCGACCTGGCCTTAACGTGAGGCCCCTCCTTCTGCCCCCCCCTTGTAAATTAAAGCTGTGCGCGGCCCGCTGAGCTTCGACCGGAAGAGGTGCGCTCTCGACCCGCGAATCAAAGAGTGTCGTTGTTTCCCGGGGAAAAGGGGAGAAAAATATACACCACACCACCCCGACGTCGTCCCCGATCCTCAAAAGAAGTCCTGGGATTGAAAAACCGCCCACCACTGGTGGTGTATATGTTCCAGTTTCCGACGTCCCGACGCCTGGAACAAAACAAAAAAAACAAAAATGGCACCGCAAGCGGTGCCCAGGCCCCCTCGCGCAGTGAGCAAAGATCACGACCGTGACCCCAGAGATCCGATGTCGTGATTTTTTATATACGGGGCCCCCGGAAAGTCTCGACCCATTCCAGGACCGGCTCTTCATCCTGAGTCGTTTCTGGACGGTCCGGCCCGGCGAGGGCCGCCAGAGGCCGAAAATCGGGAAAAAAACTCCGTCTTGATTTTGTTCAATGCGTCGGAGGTCTGGGATTTCTTCACTGCTCGAGGGGTGTCTTGTCGCGGAAGCAGCGAGAAAAAACCTCCCGCCGACGGGAGGCTTCTCGCTGGCTTCGGCCTCTGGGGGCCGCCCCCTGGCCAGGCCTCGAGGGACCGTCAACAAAAACGACTATCGGGCTGAAACACCCCAGCCCCGGGGAACTGGGTCGAGACCTTTGGGGTGTTGACGCCACGACACACCACGACACAAATCACCACCTCGGGGGCCTGGGGATGGAGACCAAGACCCTCGACGTCATGACTTTTTCATCACGTCCACCCTCCGAGGTCTCGGCCTATTCCCCGGGACAGGCTCTTCGTCCCGAGTCGTTTTTCGACGGCCCCGAGGCCCGGTAAGGGCCCCTGGAGGCCGAGAATGGCGAAACACCTCCCTGAAGGGGCCCCAGGACACACAAATAAATACACACAAATAGAAATATTCCCTATATTTCCCCTATATTTTCTGGGGTTTTGTCTTTCCCACCACTTCCCATATTTTCCCAGATTTTCCAGGACATCGAAGATTAATTGTGTCTGTGTGTTTCTTTCCCTCCTGACTCCCGTCGTGATGTTTTCTTTGCTCGAGGCGGTCTGGGGGAGGCCCGGCGCCTCGAGCAGAAAGCTTGGCACGTGCAGCGGGAAGCCACGACCCGAACTCCCGGCTCCAGCTCCCGGGTGTTGCCAGAAGTGCAGTGCCCCTGGCCCAAGGTGCCCCCAGGATTCTCGAGGTGGCCCAGACGGCCTCCAGGGCACCACTCACGAGGCCCAGAGGGCCCCAGGGGCTCCAGAACGGAGCGAGAAGCTGGGGGCACCTTGGGCCAGGGGGGCACCTCTGGCAGAACCCGAAGTTTCCTGCGGCGCGTGCCGAGCCAGACCGCTCCCTGGGCGCCCAGGAGGAGAGGAGGGGGGCGGTCCGGGGGTGGACTGCTCTGGCAGGTCGCGGCCCCGGGCGCGTGGGCGGCCCAGGGGGCGCCGGTGAACCGAAGGGAGGGCGCCATGGCAGCCGGAGAGATGCCACGGCCCTGGCCATGACATCCATCCCCCCCTCTCTCTGGCCCCCCCCCCCCCCTTGTTTGATTGTTACCTAACAGCTTTTGCTGGTAGGTTTCTAGTAGGGTCAAAAGAAAACATCATGACTCCTCAGGGAGGTCTGGGCGGGTGCCGGGGAGGAGAACCGGGAATCGCTTTTCGCCAACAGTCACACACTTCGTGCTCTTCGACCTCCCACAACTCCATTCCCGGGCCACATTCTGGAGAACCGGGAACAGAGCCGGGCTCGCTTTTCGCCAACAGTCACACACTTCGTGCTCTTCGACCTCCCGGAACTCCACTCCCGGGCCACATTCTGAACCGGGAACAGAGCCGGGCTCGCTTTTCGTCAACAGTCGCACACTTCGTGCTCTTCGACCTCCCAGAACTCCACTCCCGGGCTATATTTTGAGTGCCCGGAACCAACTGTAAGCCACTTCGTGCTCTTCGAGTTCCCAGAACTCCATTCCCGGGCCACATTTTGGATGCCCAGAGCCAACTGTAAGCCACTTCGTGTCCTTCGATTTCCCAGAACTTCATTCCCGGGCCACATTTTGGATGCCCGGAACCAACTGTAGGCCACTTCGTGCCCTTCAAGTCTCAGAATTCTATTCCTGGGCATGATTTTGAATGCCCGGAGCCAACTGTAGGCCACTTCGTGTTCTTCTATTTCCAAGAACTCCATTCCTGGGCCACATTTTGTGAGGCTGAGGCTGAGGCAGGCTGAGGCAGGCTGAGGCTGAGGCTGAAGCAGGCTGATGCTGAGGCAGGCTGAGGCTGAGGCTGAGGCTGATGCAGGCTGAGGCTGAGGCAGGCTGAGGCTGAGGCCGAGGCTGAAGGCAGACTGAGGCTGAGGCTGAAGCAGGCTGAGGCTGAGGCTGAGGCAGCTGAGGCTGAGGCTGCCTTGCCGCTGCGACTGTCATCGCGAATGCGACTACGACTGCGAGAACAGCAGAACTCTACAACTGGATTTTCATCTGAATCTGAACGGGAATGCTTTCATATATGCTTCTGCATATCGCTGTTGGGTTGCTTTGCCGGGATAATTTTTCTTGTTTCTCGCCCCGAAAGCCCGCCCTGTAGGAGGACGCGCCCGACCTAAGCAGAGACGGCCAGGCGCCGAGGCGCGAGGACGCGGGGCCCTGCCCCACGCGCGCGGGGCGTGCCCGATCCCAGGGGGCGCGAGCGGCCTCCCGCGGGCCCCCCCTCCCTCTAGCCCCCCCCCTTTCTGAACGCCCCAAATCGGCCACAAGGCCCGCGTCCAGGGGAACACGCCGGGTGTGGAGAAGACACCGCCAGGGCCTCAGGCGAGAAAAACGACAAGTGTCGTGTTGGGAGGAAGGGGCCGGGAAGACCCCAAACACGGCTGCGTAATGAAGACCTTCAGCATACGCGATACTCGGGATTAGCTGATACTTTCCCCCAGCCCATCCTCCCAACCCTTCGGTGGCAATTCATGGGATCCTCCCATATCATCTTGTCGGCTCTTGCGAATCGACGCACGTCGACGCTAAATCGACGTTGCATCGACGCTAACCGACGCTAAACTAGCCCCGATTCATCCACCCCCAGACGGTGATCGACGCTAGCCGACGCTAAAAACAGAATTCAGTGGTGGACCAGGCTCCAATGACTCGCTACCGACCCGATGACTCGTCTTTCTTTGGCGGCGCGCACAAAGGGGGTGGGGGGAGGGGGGAGGGATTCTTAGAAGCAGGCTGCTTCTTAGAAGGCGCCGGCCTTACATCTATAGAGAAGGCCCGCGCCTTCTAAGAAACAGGGGTGCTTCTAAGAAGCCCCCCCCCTCCCCCCACCCCCCTCTTGCTAGGGACTCTCCTTCGTGGGCTCCCCACTGGCGCCCCTCATCTACCCAGGCCCTTCCAGGTCTCATCAAGTACGATCCCAACTTGAGGTATGCCCGACTGGGAATCCGCACAGGTCCGACTGCGGCTGGGTACCGACACAATGGACAAGTGTGCAGGCCAGCTTGGGCGCTGCGCATCATGGCTATTTCGGTATTCGGTGTCATTTTGCTCGGCTACTTTGCAGATCCACTCCCCGAGTGGGAAGCAAACGACTCACTCACTTCTCAGAGGACAGAGTTGGACGCAGCCATTGGGAACATGGCATCGGTCACCCAGTCACAGTACAGCTCTCTGCCTACCTGCGTTCGCAGTGATAACATGGCCGCTCACAGAGCATATCGGGGAGGACATGTCAGAGGAGCGCTCAGTGCTACCAAGCTTCTACTCGACAGCTTACTTCAATGTTTACGTGCACATGCTAAAACGCGTTCCTTACAGCATGCTCATGGTCATGTTGCAAATTCTTGGAGCGAATCGGTTGACACATTTGCCAGGTTGTTTGCCATAACGATGCTTCTCGCCTCTTTTGAGTCACAGTGGCGCACGCCGGTAAAAACAAGACCCCATTGGAGGGTCATGCAGAGGCTTCGGCCGAGTTCCGTCTCAACAGCAGCTTGCAGCTCGCTACTTCCGACGGCCGACCATACCATACACATCGCCTGATAGCCCCACACGGACCTCCAACGGATCGCCCCTAGGCCCAACAAAGTCCCCGATAGGAGACATCCTTGCCTGCTTGTGTGCACGGTCGGGACTAACAGGCATAAAACTGGGGACACACACATGGGAAGTCACATTGTGCT